GACAGGAAAGATTCTATGTACCCGTTTAACAGCACTCTATTCACTTATGCTCAAACATGTAATCACAATACTATTGTACGCAGACACACTATACGTATACAATAATACACTATCGCCCGCCAATAGGCGTACATATATGCCCATACATCATGGGAACTTCGCAACTAACCGTCCTCCATGTTTGGTCACTACACACTTGCCCCGATCATATATTTACCACAGCCTTCGTCAGTACACCAAACTATGTCCCTATACAGTTATTCATTTAATATACACTTATCCAATTGATATATATTCTAAACCTCGCACTTGGAATTTGAAAATCAAACTATCACTCCTCTATATTTGTCCACTATACACTGTTCCCATCAACATACCTCCCATAGACTATACGCCAAAGCGTCAAACCATTCGCTGACTCCTTCTCCCGTGGTGAGACTTAGAACGTCGTCCTGCTCGTGCAATAGCGCAATCTCATTGGCCGCTGCCTTGCCCTGGCTTTTGGACCGACCTATGTTATGATACACGTAATATGAAACATTCAACAAATGTACTGTTCACTTGAGCTACAAGTATTATAGGATATACAATAGTATACTATACACTTATGGTGTTATAGTAGCCTAATGCCTTTCAATAGCCTCCCCCCTACCCGGCTTCCTTTGACCAGGATTTGCAAATAACTGACACCAAGTTTTTAATGTGACCACTATGCGAATAGCTCATCAGACATGTGTGTGCATACACACAGTGTGTACAAGGAACAATGAAACAACGTAGGTACCTGCAGTGATCGTTCGCATACGACACCAACGCAGCTTTACACAAATCAAACATTCATATATATATATATATATATATATATATATATATATGTGTGTGTGTGTGTGTGTGTGTGTGTGTGTGTGTGTAACAAGAGGACATATCAGAGCAGACCTACTTAACTGACACAAGTGCAAGGTGACGCTCATCGCTACGCAAGTGCAGATAACTCTCGATACTACACATAGCGAAGTTACATCAGACTCACCACTATCCGCTTTTGTCTCGGAAACAGAGCGTTTCTCTGCGTCGTACTTCGGCCCTTTAGTGCACACGAACGTAACCATGGGCGGGAACTTGGCCGCTGTGGATTATTAAAGAGGAGAACGCAGGCGACGTATGAGTCTTGCGCGGTGTGCGCGTAGTGCATGAACACGATCCCAATACATGTGTGGATGAATAGTCACACATCATATGACAGAGTTATGGTACCACACAGATCACCACGGGTAAGAACGGTGGATGTGGACAATTAAAGAGGTGTATGTAAGTAAAGATCTGCGCAACGCAAAGGAATGCAGCGCAAGCAGCGACGCATACGGCCGGAAGGTATGTGGGGTGCATGCATACGTATCCATGGAGACGCGCAAGCAAATGGACCCCAGCACAGAACCTGCAATAGTGGACAATTAAGCAGGAAAGGATAGGCAACACAGGGCTGGTACAACAGCTGTGTGCCGAGTGCCGCACTTCGTATGATTTTGCATTGTGCCGAAGTTGGGGGGTTCCTATTGGCAATGTACATGTATTGTGTAAATTGGCAGATGTAAAATGGGCAGATGTAAAATAGGCAGATGTGTACCCATAGGTGCTCGATGCACATGCAAGAGGTTCATATAGCACAGTATATGAACTATATATACATGCAATACGTTCATATAACACTTTATATGAACTATATATACATGCAGCACGTTCACATGACACTGTATATGAACTATATATACATGCAACACGTTCATATAACACTGTATATGAACCATATATACATACAACACGTTCATATAACACTGTAAATGAACTATATATACATGCAAGACATTCATGTAACACTGTATATGAACTATATATACATACAACACGTTCATATAGCACTGTATATGAACTATATATACATGCAACACATTCATATAACACTGTATATGAACTATATATACATGCAACACGTTCACATAACACTGTATATGAACTATATATACATGCAACACGTTCATATAACACTGTATATGAACTATATATACATGCAACACGTTCATATAGCACTTTATATGAACTATATATACATAAAACACGTTTATATAACCCTGTATATGAATTTTTTTTACAATGCACACAACACTGTATGTGCAATACACAATACCAATCCTCGCAAGTAAAATTGGTAGATTTAGTAAAATCGGTAGAACTATTAAAATTCGTTGAAGTAGTAGAAGCAGTAGAAGTAGTAAAAATAGTAAAAGTAGTAGAATTATTCGAATTATTCGAATTAGTACAGTTCGAGACACACACCAGTTGCCGCAGATGGGGCCTGTGTATCGATATCATCGGGTTTCTCCATAGTGACCAAGCCTGCAGAGGTAGATAAATGTTGATATGAAGACATATACAAAAACGTATACGTATATATTACAACTATACAGAGGTACAGGTTGATATGAATACGTATATAAAACGTATATATATATATTACGACTATACGAAGGTCAATTTTGATATGAATACATATATAATAACGAACATGTACATATTCGATGTTCATTTGCATGCACAGAGATCAAGTCAAGTGTTCGATTCTGTACAGTATAAAACACCAACGAGTTTGAAAGTCACTAATCCCGTGCACACATTAGGGGGTTGCAGAATACAAGGGCGTACTAAACACATCTATAACTGGTGTGGTGGATATTTCGTATGCGCGTTTTGCTCGCAACACCACTCAGGATTCAGAACGAGATAGTCTACCTGCATAACACCATATAGACTTAATATAAGGATTTGAATATTGGAAAAGATAAAGGAGGCCATTTGAGAGAGTTCCATCGATATATATATATATATATATATATATATATAGTACGGACGACGAACTATTTAGTCGTACGTCGCGCTGTTCACTATTCGTGGTGCACTACGTTTCCGACCAAAC